TTTTTTTTTTTTTGGGATACATCATTAGAACATTTTTAAAAAAATAATAATAATTAACTATTACAATTTAAAACAATGCATTTATAGTAGAGAATAAAACACTCAAATAATAGCTAAAGAGTTGGACATAAAAAATCAAACCTTACTTCTGACAAAAATTTACCCCCAACCTCTTGGTTGAAAGAACTGATGAGGGCAACCGAAGTACGATAATGCCCAGTTGGTTAGCACTCACAAATGCCATCACCATTGTATCATGAATAATCCATCTTTGGAAAAAATATTTATTACAACGGTAATATCACGTGACATAGTAATGTGATATCNTTTTCATGTGCTTGCTATTTATAAACTGAGGATGATGATCTAAAGCCCGTTCGGATAGGGGATTTTTTTTTTTTTTGGGATACATCATTAGAACATTTTTAAAAAAATAATAATAATTAACTATTACAATTTAAAACAATGCATTTATAGTAGAGAATAAAACACTCAAATAATAGCTAAAGAGTTGGACATAAAAAATCAAACCTTACTTTTGACAAAAATTTACCCCCAACCTCTTGGTTGAAAGAACTGATGAGGGTAACCGAAGTACGATAAGGCCCAGTTAATTAGCACTCACAAATGCCATCACCATTGTATCATGAATGATTCATCTTTAACAGGAAAAAATATTTATTACAACGGTAATATCACGTGACAAAGTAATGTGATATTNACTTTGGACAATTGTCAGATAAGAAAGCTCTGATGAAGTAGGTCTTTCCACCTACATCTTTACTAAATATAAAACCTCAGCACATGATTAAAATTCTTAATAGATTTTGTTTAAATGATTGAGAAGTTTAGTTATCAGAAATTAAGCAAGCCATTAACAAATCTACAGTAAGAAGCTTTTATTTGATCTTATCAAGGGCAAATCCAGTTTCTCTTTATTTAAGCACAAGACNTCACCAACTAATAATACTAAAATAAATAATCAAATAGACCCCACAAAAAATGAAATTTACTTTTCTTATTTAAGATTTTATTATTTATTGGTGATACCATATCATCAACAGTAATATAGTATCACCATTGCATTCAACAGTTACTCCTACAACAGCACAATCAAGACTCAATTCATGTCTGACGTGTGACCCTATTCAATTCATCCATTGGTTCCCTTTGTGATAGCTGCAAGAGTCTTATGATAAAACTACCTCATCACGACCCCACCCTCCCTTTCTTCCCCCACAACACACACACACACGCACACACAGAGATGCTCTATTTCCAGGTTTGATTTCCAAATCCAGGAAAGCAGGGCTACTCAGAAAACTAGACACATTATCATCATATCAAAGAGCAACAAAAAAATGATTTAACAAAGTCATTGAACAGTAATATAGGTTTTGCCCCAACATTCCTGGCAAATACCACACTAAAAATGAATTGAACAGAAAAAAAAAAAAAAAAAAAGAAGCAAAGCATAAACCAATTATGGTCATTTTTTATATAACCAATGAACAAGGCAAAAATATTTGGACTACAAAGAATAAGATTAAAGAATGGATACATTAACCGGCAAAGCAGTTAAATTTGCCGCAATATTCCAAACGGGCAAAAACATCCTGAACCCCAGAATCAATGCCGTGGTGTGTGCAGGCGAGGCCTATTACAGAAAATACGGCCATTGGCCTTCACGAATGCTGCAATGGCCAAACTCAAGCTCGCCCACATAAATGAAAAGAGCAAGTGCCAAAGATCATATCGAACTGCAGAAATATCAATGCAAAGCCAGGTGCTGTAGATTAGCGAATTTGCATCAATGTTGAAAGGGAAACCTTAATTTTGATATATAACAAGAAGACAAATGCATATCTCAGATTAGCGAAAACTGGTATTATAGCATTTTTTGCATGTACAAATAATGCTCTTATATTGGAAGGCTAGTATTTACCTAATCAACAAAAGTTTTGAACTTAAAACCAACCATAAGTTTAGGGGATCAGTAAATAATATTGAAATGTTATGGGCAGATTATCAAGCAACTTCATGCTCCAACCTTGAGGGACCAAGGACATCATCCACTTAGACCTCATTTGAAAAAACTAAATGGCAGTTTTTATTTGTGTTTCAAGTGGTTAGAAAAAAGGCTTCACAGCGTGTTGGCATGTGCGAGTGTATGTTTCCTTTCTCCATAAAATTTCTTCCATGAAAACCTTTCCCTCTGTACTACAGGAATGCCCACAAAAAAAAAAAGTCCACAATTGAATTGATACTGTACTCTTTACACTATTGTCGCGATTCTGTTTATGATGCATCATATGTTAGGGTTTGCCTCTAATAATTTAAAGTACTTAGATCTTTAGAAAAAGCAATCACCTAGACAAGCAGCTAGGCTCACTGCCTTAAGTCCCCTACATTTCTGACAACTTTGGACAATTGTCAGATAAGAAAGCTCTGATGAAGTAGGTCTTTCCACCTACATCTTTACTAAATATAAAACCTCAGCACATGATTAAAATTCTTAATAGATTTTGTTTAAATGATTGAGAAGTTTAGTTATCAGAAATTAAGCAAGCCATTAACAGATCTACAGTAAGAAGCTTTTATTTGATCTTATCAAGGGCAAATCCAGTTTCTCTTTATTTAAGCACAAGACAACCTTGATCCTAACTGAAAGGTCATTGCAAAGGGAGCAACGGTATCAGTCGAGCTGTCAAGCTTGCGAGCATTGGTTTCAAGTCTAACGGCAACCGTTTCATGTGAAAAATCCATAGGCTAAGCCTGTAAGCAATCCAATTCTCCCAGGCTCCCAGCATAGCAGCACGTCACATTGACAGGAGCAAAATTGTCTTATTTTGGACTGAGCTTTCTATTAATAAAAACGTATGTATATTGCAGCCTCATATTTACCCAAAAAAAAAAAACGTTATAGCCTAACGAGCAACCAAAGGCAGACATATTCTTCTTGGCAGCAACTTGCTCATGTTCACAAAGTAGAACTAGTGGTTCCATAAACATGGTTTGAGTACGACACTATACCGAGACATGTACCAACGTGCATGATATGCTGTCCCACCTTTTACCGAGTTTACACAGTTCCTTGTTTCTGTGAGTTTAGCTAGTTATTTTGAAACTTCTTGATGGAATTTTATTGTAAAAGAAAAGACCTATAATTGTGGTATAATCCCGAAAAAATGGAATCAAAAGGAAACTTCACTTGAAAAGGTTGCAAAACAGGAAAAAATGTATGCCAAAGAGTAGGAGACATCAATCATGGGTCCTAGACTTGAGTTGGGTGTTACCGAGAGCATGTATTTCGTTACTGGAAGCAAGTTATGGTGTGTTCGGAAAGGATGTAGAGTATCTATATTGTGGAAATGTGTGATTATGGCAGTTTTGGTTGGTAAGGAAAAACAGAATTTTTGAAGGAAAAGAAAAAATTGAGGAGTTTCTTTGAACAGAGCAATGTTTGTGGCTTTCCTTTGGGCTTGGACTACAAATGAGTTTAAGGATATGTCCTTTTATTTTCTTAGTATCAATTGGATAGCTGCATGTAACTAATGGACTTATCATGTTTTACAGAGATGTAATATTTTTTCTTTGATGTATTTTTCTTCTTTTTGAATTATCATGGGGTGGATTTCTTGTGCACCCCTTTTGTACAATCTTTTCAATTAATGAAAGTTTTGTTTCCTATCAAAAAAAAATGATGGGGTCTAGACAGTTTGAATTGCAAATAGCATGCTACGCGCAAAAGATGTTTTTTTTAATTATTCACTATAGCCTATGATAAAATATTGAGCCTCTCTTTAAAAAGTGGACCATAAAATATTAAGTACTTATCATCTTTTGTGCTGATATTGTTAAGAGCTTGGCATCCATTGTTTCTCCTATTCTTTAACAGTTCAAGCTTCTTGGGCAATGGATAATCTATCATGTAATCAGTACTTTGGTTTCACAACTTCTAGAATTCTAGTCTCACCATATGTGTTTGTTTGCCCTTTCAATCAATCAATCCAGTATTCTCTCTTTGCTTGCATGTGTGTGAGAGGGTCGTGTGAAAAAGGTGTCAAGAGCTGGATATAAATTGTTTGTCCTATTGCTTAATCTTTTAAGGTTTTGGAGGGTTCATGGTCAAACAAATATAGCAATTTCCTATTAATAAAGCCAAATAAAAGCCAACTTACCCCGCCTCAGTGACATCATTGCGAAAAAGAACCCAGCCATGATCAGAGAAAAAGCCAGCGGAAAGGACTGCAAGAAAGTGGAGAATGAGATTATTGTGTGTAACATCGACTACATAAATAATTTATAACACAACTTCAGAGGCTTCTGTAATTAAATTTCCCTGGTAGACAATCAGAAAGGAACCGGTCTTTTATCTTTTCTTCTCTGTGCTACGTGCTACAACACAAAGCCTTTACCACTTAATTTTTTCCTCTAGAATTCCTCCCACACCTCAACACCAAAAGGAAAAATCTTGGGTTTTTTTGGTTGGGTTGGGTTTTTTTTTTTTTTTTGGGGGGGGGGAATTCCAGCATCGGTGCTCCACAGCTGGGATGACATTATAGAAACAGACACGCCAAGGTGAAACATACATGACATGTGCGACCACCTTTTCTGATAAGTGCATGGTATCTCCCAATAATGCTAGATTTTGTTTCATTTTACTCCCAAAAATGNCACTAAAAATGAATTGAACAGAAAAAAAAAAAAAAAAAAAGAAGCAAAGCATAAACCAATTATGGTCATTTTTTATATAACCAATGAACAAGGCAAAAATATTTGGACTACAAAGAATAAGATTAAAGAATGGATACATTAACCGGCAAAGCAGTTAAATTTGCCGCAATATTCCAAACGGGCAAAAACATCCTGAACCCCAGAATCAATGCCGTGGTGTGTGCAGGCGAGGCCTATTACAGAAAATACGGCCATTGGCCTTCACGAATGCTGCAATGGCCAAACTCAAGCTCGCCCACATAAATGAAAAGAGCAAGTGCCAAAGATCATATCGAACTGCAGAAATATCAATGCAAAGCCAGGTGCTGTAGATTAGCGAATTTGCATCAATGTTGAAAGGGAAACCTTAATTTTGATATATAACAAGAAGACAAATGCATATCTCAGATTAGCGAAAACTGGTATTATAGCATTTTTTGCATGTACAAATAATGCTCTTATATTGGAAGGCTAGTATTTACCTAATCAACAAAAGTTTTGAACTTAAAACCAACCATAAGTTTAGGGGATCAGTAAATAATATTGAAATGTTATGGGCAGATTATCAAGCAACTTCATGCTCCAACCTTGAGGGACCAAGGACATCATCCACTTAGACCTCATTTGAAAAAACTAAATGGCAGTTTTTATTTGTGTTTCAAGTGGTTAGAAAAAAGGCTTCACAGCGTGTTGGCATGTGCGAGTGTATGTTTCCTTTCTCCATAAAATTTCTTCCATGAAAACCTTTCCCTCTGTACTACAGGAATGCCCACAAAAAAAAAAAGTCCACAATTGAATTGATACTGTACTCTTTACACTATTGTCGCGATTCTGTTTATGATGCATCATATGTTAGGGTTTGCCTCTAATAATTTAAAGTACTTAGATCTTTAGAAAAAGCAATCACCTAGACAAGCAGCTAGGCTCACTGCCTTAAGTCCCCTACATTTCTGACAACTTTGGACAATTGTCAGATAAGAAAGCTCTGATGAAGTAGGTCTTTCCACCTACATCTTTACTAAATATAAAACCTCAGCACATGATTAAAATTCTTAATAGATTTTGTTTAAATGATTGAGAAGTTTAGTTATCAGAAATTAAGCAAGCCATTAACAGATCTACAGTAAGAAGCTTTTATTTGATCTTATCAAGGGCAAATCCAGTTTCTCTTTATTTAAGCACAAGACAACCTTGATCCTAACTGAAAGGTCATTGCAAAGGGAGCAACGGTATCAGTCGAGCTGTCAAGCTTGCGAGCATTGGTTTCAAGTCTAACGGCAACCGTTTCATGTGAAAAATCCATAGGCTAAGCCTGTAAGCAATCCAATTCTCCCAGGCTCCCAGCATAGCAGCACGTCACATTGACAGGAGCAAAATTGTCTTATTTTGGACTGAGCTTTCTATTAATAAAAACGTATGTATATTGCAGCCTCATATTTACCCAAAAAAAAAAAACGTTATAGCCTAACGAGCAACCAAAGGCAGACATATTCTTCTTGGCAGCAACTTGCTCATGTTCACAAAGTAGAACTAGTGGTTCCATAAACATGGTTTGAGTACAACACTATACCGAGACATGTACCAACGTGCATGATATGCTGTCCCACCTTTTACCGAGTTTACACAGTTCCTTGTTTCTGTGAGTTTAGCTAGTTATTTTGAAACTTCTTGATGGAATTTTATTGTAAAAGAAAAGACCTATAATTGTGGTATAATCCCGAAAAAATGGAATCAAAAGGAAACTTCACTTGAAAAGGTTGCAAAACAGGAAAAAATGTATGCCAAAGAGTAGGAGACATCAATCATGGGTCCTAGACTTGAGTTGGGTGTTACCGAGAGCATGTATTTCGTTACTGGAAGCAAGTTATGGTGTGTTCGGAAAGGATGTAGAGTATCTATATTGTGGAAATGTGTGATTATGGCAGTTTTGGTTGGTAAGGAAAAACAGAATTTTTGAAGGAAAAGAAAAAATTGAGGAGTTTCTTTGAACAGAGCAATGTTTGTGGCTTTCCTTTGGGCTTGGACTACAAATGAGTTTAAGGATATGTCCTTTTATTTTCTTAGTATCAATTGGATAGCTGCATGTAACTAATGGACTTATCATGTTTTACAGAGATGTAATATTTTTTCTTTGATGTATTTTTCTTCTTTTTGAATTATCATGGGGTGGATTTCTTGGGCACCCCTTTTGTACAATCTTTTCAATTAATGAAAGTTTTGTTTCCTATCAAAAAAAAAATGATGGGGTCTAGACAGTTTGAATTGCAAATAGCATGCTACGCGCAAAAGATGTTTTTTTTAATTATTCACTATAGCCTATGATAAAATATTGAGCCTCTCTTTAAAAAGTGGACCATAAAATATTAAGTACTTATCATCTTTTGTGCTGATATTGTTAAGAGCTTGGCATCCATTGTTTCTCCTATTCTTTAACAGTTCAAGCTTCTTGGGCAATGGATAATCTATCATGTAATCAGTACTTTGGTTTCACAACGTCTAGAATTCTAGTCTCACCATATGTGTTTGTTTGCCCTTTCAATCAATCAATCCAGTATTCTCTCTTTGCTTGCATGTGTGTGAGAGGGTCGTGTGAAAAAGGTGCCAAGAGCTGGATATAAATTGTTTGTCCTATTGCTTAATCTTTTAAGGTTTTGGAGGGTTCATGGTCAAACAAATATAGCAATTTCCTATTAATAAAGCCAAATAAAAGCCAACTTACCCCGCCTCAGTGACATCATTGCGAAAAAGAACCCAGCCATGATCAGAGAAAAAGCCAGCGGAAAGGACTGCAAGAAAGTGGAGAATGAGATTATTGTGTGTAACATCGACTACATAAATAATTTATAACACAACTTCAGAGGCTTCTGTAATTAAATTTCCCTGGTAGACAATCAGAAAGGAACCGATCTTTTATCTTTTCTTCTCTGTGCTACGTGCTACAACACAAAGCCTTTACCACTTAATTTTTTCCTCTAGAATTCCTCCCACACCTCAACACCAAAAGGAAAAATCTTGGGTTTTTTTGGTTGGGTTGGGTTTTTTTTTTTTTTTGGGGGGGGGGGACTTCCAGCATCGGTGCTCCACAGCTGGGATGACATTATAGAAACAGACACGCCAAGGTGAAACATACATGACATGTGCGACCACCTTTTCTGATAAGTGCATGGTATCTCCCAATAATGCTAGATTTTGTTTCATTTTACTCCCAAAAATGCTGGGTTTTGTTTCACTTTACTCTTGGATTTAACTGGGAAGTTGTTAGACGTGGTTTCTAATCCTTGCCAACAATCAACAAAATAGGTTTATGATCTTTTTGCAGGCAAGTCAGTCACTGTTAATATAATAGCATGAGCNTGCTGGGTTTTGTTTCACTTTACTCTTGGATTTAACTGGGAAGTTGTTAGACGTGGTCTCTAATCCTTGCCAACAATCAACAAAATAGGTTTATGATCTTTTTGCAGGCAAGTCAGTCACTGTTAATATAATAGCATGAGCTGAAGAGCTGGAAAGTGATAATCAGTGGTTGCCATAGTAGATAGTAACTGCAGCTGCTTCAGCAATATAAATGAAGTTATATGTCAAACTACCATAGGAGTGTCTGGTTGCCTGTTGAAACTTGATCAACCATGCACTACCCCAACTATGTATTATTTAGCTGTGTGAATCTTTTGTGTCTTGGATTCATGATCATAGATGTTGCTTAAGGTTCTACGCTAGCTGATGCAATGTGCCAAGCATGAAAAACAAAGCTCTAACCGAAAAGCTGGAAGCCTTGAATAAATAAGGTAAACACAATGCTGAAAACTTTGTATAAATAGAAGTAAACAAAATGCTGAAAGCTTTGAACATATAGTAATTCAAGTGTACTGTAACCAGTCAAAAGACAGAAGTAGACTATGTAATGTACATACTGCCAGATTAATTATTTGCACCAGAATGAGCAGGAGAGAAACTGCTCGCAGAAATAATAATGGTTTGCATTATACTCACAGCGATAGCCTCTATGCCTCCTTTATGAGATGTAGCAGCCATATCTCGGGAGACAGAAACAATGTAATGTCCTTGCAGTAGATCAATTGCATCCTTCACACGTGTGACAGTCAGGAAAATGATTATCAGGATGAAAAACAGAAAACTTACAGAAGATTGAAATAAGATAAAGATAGCGAAGCTAGCACCTAGCAGTGAATGCAAAATCAGATGTCAAAAAAAATGATACCCAAACAAATCAACATTTGTTCAAAAATCAGAACGCATCGTGATGTAGGACAACTTTGTAAAATAAAAAATAGGGATTATTTAGAGGCCGTTCAGAGACTGTGAACAGGACTCGTGAACAGTAATGGGACTGTGAACAGTAGTGTGAATAGTAAATTTGGTTAGGAATCACTCCTAGGGTTCCGTAGGCATCACACCCAGGATTAGAATTGCATCACACAACTCAAGAAATATGTAATTGCTCAAAATTCTGAATATCTCTCTTCATCTATTATTAAAAGTAACACTTACTATATATAGAGTTCTAAGTAATCCTAATCCCAAAAGATTAGGATTCCAAAGTCTCTAGAACTTCAAAGACACTAGGTCTCTACAAATTAGAAAACTAAAATTAACTAAAACTAGGACTTTAAATTTTAGAATATTCAATACTAGAATTTGACCAAAAAATATGACTTAATCCAGAAATTCTGAAAATTACAAAAATATCCCCGACACTAAAAAATATTAAAAGGACATATAAAATATTAATACTAGCAAATTAACTTAAAATAAGAATGCAAGGTTCCATATGGATCTTTGTTTTGATAGAAAGTCAATTACATTATCTTTAACATCTTCGAATTTGTGTTTCCTTGAGCATCTTATGGATTGCATCACATCGTCTCTTCACATATAAGGATATAAAACATTTATCCCATGAAAATTCCAACAATTTGAAGACAACTGTCACAAATTGCTACATCATTTACTATAAATGCCTTTGCAATCGCACTTACTCACACACAAAGAAGGCCACAGAATGTATTCCAGAAAAATTATACTCACAACTACCTTCAAATATACTGGATAGATAATAACTGGCATGCTGGAAAGTGAATTTTACGGAAACCAAATTTTAACAATAAAAGTCAGAAGGTGAATTCTAAGCCCCAACAGCAAATGGGACCCAAAAAAGCTTTGCTAATCTACTACTTTGGTGCTACAATTTAACTTGCTAATATAAACAAACAGAAGAGGTATACTAACCTGTTTTGTACCATCACAAAAGTTATTTAGGTAATAGCGCATAAGGGCATTCCAGCCATCTTTAAGAATCCCTTGGATTGTGCGCTGGCCACATCTACAAATCCTCCAAACATGAGAATCATACAAAAAACTAACATTTCCAGAACAGCTTTTAGACCATCATAAATTCCTTGCACTGATACTATTTAAGGCTCATAAAAAATAGATCATGCTTCAGTTTTGACCACAGCCTGTACTACAGTGGTTTGCGAATCAGCAACGGCTGTAACTAACACAAGGCCTTGAAATTTGGAAAAAAAAAAAAACTTTACACATTCTGGACAGAGCATATTGATCCAGCTGCCACAACAGTTATCTACTGATTGGCGGGAGGTCCACGGTCTGATACCAAACATGACAATACTTGCATAACATAGTTTGAGGAAAAACGGAAGAACAAAGAAATAAAAACTGTTGTAGATAATGGAAAAGCTAACCCCAAGGGCTAACTAAGATTACCAGTGACCCACTTTAAGAGCTGTAGGGCCTAAGAATGGATCTCCCCCAGGAACCATCCCCGGGGAATTACCCAGTCCATATGGGATGTGGGGTGCAAACACATGAGCCCGGAAAAAATAAAAGCTGCTGTAAAGAATCAACTTACAGAGAAAATAACACCGAGGGGTAACTACGATTACTAAGGACCCACTTTAAGAGATGTATCCAAAGTTTGGAACTCCCGTTGGAACCATCCTCACGGGAATTACCCAGTGCATACCGTAATGTGGGATAGGATGGGAATACAGGTGTCCAAGAGGATTAAGTGGGTTCTAAGAACCTGATAACCCCTTGTTAGTGGCAATAATAATAAAAAATAAATAATAGTAATAATTGCAAATCATTTCATGAGCATCAATCGAGCAACATATTCCCACGTTAAGCAAAAAAAGCATAAGCACCAATATCGCATGGACCCAATGTTATAGAAAATGCGTGGAAAAATTACCTGACAAAATCTCCTTTCAAAGCAGGGGTACCAGAGTACTGAATGCTTATCTCATCCCCATGATTAGCCCACACTGGAAATATAAAATAAATGAGAAGGTAGAAAGGCTAAACCCAAACAATCTAGGAAACTTCCACCTTCTAGGAAAACATAACAGCCCAATAACAATGAAAGAAGCATAAACAAATTAGTGAAGGCAGATAATGGTGAAAGTACTCACAAATTTTGAAGCTTTCATCAAAATTTGGATGCGTGCCAATAGTTTCTTCAGCTTCAAAAATACCAAGCCTTCTAAGTTGAAACTCTAACATTTTTCGACCAATCATGCTCTGCATCCATAGCTCATAGTCATCATAATGAACAAAAAGATTCGACAGTGTCTGCATCCATCTGAAAACATTCACACCAAATCTGCCTACAGAAATTTTTTTGGTACAAATAACAATAAATCAACCATCCTACTCATCAATTTTTTTACTATTATTCGCAATGAGTGCCCCTAAGAAAACAATATCTGCGTAAAAAGATATAAAACCAAATAAATACATGGATTGTCTTTGCCGCCTTGAACAGATCTATGACTTAAACCATTTCCAAGGGTTGACAAATTCGTTACACCAAAAGTAATATCCTAATTTATTTAGGTCTTAATTTTGTTTCATAAAGACCTTGCCATGGAATTTCTCAGATCTTCCCAAAGTTTAGCAACAAAACACAAACCATGGAATGAATACAATAGTGATTCTTTGTGAAACTTGAGAGATTAGTAAGATTCTCAATGTAAAACGAAGAAAAAAATCCATAGATGGTATCCAACATTGCAATACAAAGGAACAACACTACTACCAAAATGTCTGCAATTACCGGCTACAATCCCTCTGATTGAAAATACACATACCTGGGTGACATTTGTACGGTCTAAGCAATCAATACAATTGGTCCTTACAACTCCAAGTTGCCCCTCAACTTTCTCACCTTTTTCATTTAACAACAGGTACCTATAATCAAGACATATGACGAAAGACATACAGGAATGAGTATAAAATCACGATTAATATATAAATGAAGGTGAACCATTGCTTACACAAAATGATCATTGAATCAATACTATTTAAATCAGTCAAAGAACAAAAAAAATTAACGAGTCAAAATCTGTAAAAATAAAGGAAATTCATATCTTAGACGAAGCAGTTAAACACTTAAACAAGCCACCCATGTGACATGCATGCATNAAGGAAATTCATATCTTAGACGAAGCAGTTAAACACTTAAACAAGCCACCCATGTGATGACATGCATGCACAGAATTGACAATTAGTATTTAATTACGAGTAATTATATGAGACCTAAACCTGAACGATGAATATTTTACTAGTCAGAGATAATTTTATAAAAAATAATTATAGGGCGAATTGTGTTATTTAAAATGTGAAAAGTTAAATACAAACATTAACATGTGATATGACTTTATTATTTTATGTATGTCAANAGATAATTTTATAAAAAATAATTATAGGGCGAATTGTGTTATTTAAAATGTGAAAAGCTAAATACAAACATTAACATGTGATATGACTTTATTATTTTATGTATGTCAACGTATGTGGAATTGATTGAATGACAAGCATGTAACATCAATTTATTGCTATATAAAAAATAAAATGTGTTAGTATGTATAAAGAGTGGTTAAGGCTTCGAAATACGAATTTAATGGTTTATAAATATTTTTAGATATATATATCTATATTACTTATAAATGTTAGCATCTACGAAAAAATTTTAATTTTCAATTTGATCCTTACTTATTATAATAAAGTTAATTATATCCTCCTATATATTTTTATCTAATTTTTATTTTTTCAAACCTATTTGACTTTTAACTTGTTTTGAACTCTTTTATAAGAACTTATAAATTTTTTTGAACTCATTTATTTAGTAGTTAAGTTACAAGTTGTTAGTATCGTACGATACGCGATACGTATCGTACGATACGTTACGATACAGCCCTAAAACGATACGGATCGTAGTTATGTATCGTTTTTGCGTTGTATCGTCCGATACACGATACGTTTTTACGATACGATACGTATCGGTACGATACGCACGATACGTGCAATTTTTTTTTTTTTTTTTTTTTAAAACGACGTCGTTTTGTGCTCTGATTTTTTTTTTAAAAAAACGACAAGTGAAGACTTGTTGGCATCCGATCACAATGATGATGATGATGATGCATTTTCAATTGAAATTGAAGATTGAGTTCAAAATGGATGTTAGAAATTTGGATTAGAAGTCTCTTTGGTGTTTAAAGTTTGAATTAGTGAACTATGGTTGTGAACTTTGCATTATAATAGTAGTGGATTATGTTGATAACTTGAATAGTTGGTGGAGTATTAATGAAATGCTATATTTTTTATGAGTGTATGACTTTTTTTCAAAGGTATATATATTTTTTTATTATTTATTTAAAATTGCATCGTATCTTACGATACACGATACGATACAATATTTGTATCTTACGATACGCCTTCCGATACACGATTTGATAACTATGGTTAAGTTACATATAATTATTTATATCTATATGAAGATGCAAAGCTCTGTACGGTTAAATATATGTTATATTTAATTTTTTGGTATTTAATAATATAACAATATTATAAGTGATTTAATCAATCTATTTCACAAAATAAAAATTAATAATTCTATAATATATAATTAGATGTGCAAATGTCTAAAGGGGTTGGAGAGATACTTAAATAAATAACAGATTTGATACTCAAAAACTTATAGAATAAATTAATAATTAAATTTNTGATTTAATCAATCTATTTCACAAAATAAAAATTAATAATTCTATAATATATAATTATATGTGCAAATGTCTAAAGGGGTCGGAGAGATACTTAAATAAATAACAGATTTGATACTCAAAAACTTATAGAATAAATTAATAATTAAATTAAACAATAATTAAAATACGGATTAATTATTCGACACCTAATTTATTATTTAATTTAATTACAACATAATTCATATTTTCTATAATAACTGTGTAAGAAACACATNATTCGACACCTAATTTATTATTTAATTTAATTACAACATAATTCATATTTTCTATAAAAATAATATTTTTTAAATTTCTTTATATGCAATACACATCGTGCATTGCTAGTATCTAGATATGTCTATGTATAAACATGCATACAAGGAAAAGTAGGTACATAAATATAAGTGTATATATATATGTATATAATAACTGTGTAAGAAACACATGTATGTGCATATATAAACTCGGGAATATATATATATATATAAGTGTATAAAAAATATAAGGTAATGATGGGGGATTCCACTTAGCAAGACATGTCTTGCATGCAAAAAAATAAATCAAGGGTGGGGATTTGGAGGAATGTATGTACACTAACCTTTGTTTTTGTCAACANAAGACATGTCTTGCATGCAAAAAAATAAATCAAGGGTGGGGATTTGGAGGAATGTATTTACACTAACCTTTGCTTTTGTCAACGTATAAATGTTTGATTGTTTGTGTAATCAGCTATTTTATGAGTTTTATTCTGAACAAATGGCTTAAGTGTCGTAGTGTTACGTTGGGAATAAAATGCCTTTGTGACGAATATAATACTATGGTTCTAGTTGTCAGTATGACACACATAAAAAGAAGCTATATGGTCGTGACGTTTAAGCGTCAGATGTCTAAGTGACACATTTTATTTGCACAGTCAAAACGTCTAAGAGACGAAAAACTAGTTATCAGAATGGGTTGTCTACCCAAGCGTTCAAGTTTGTCTTCATGATTGAGATAAGTTAAAATTGATTTCGTCTAGATGATGAGAGCTGAATTTATTGATATGTTGTAAGTCGTTCGAAAAACAAAAAAAAAAAAGGGAATACAAGTTACTGAGTTGTCTGAGTAACGATCGTATATCGATATAATGATTAAATTGTGCTGTATTTTGTCGCCTGAGTGGCAGGACGGTTATCTCTGTGTAACAGCAACAACGGAACAGAATATCGATAATAAGTTATGTTTACTTTTAGTAAGACCACTTTTTTAGGAAGCAAAATTTGATTATATAGGCATGGTTATTTACAAGACAAACACTAGCTTCTATATGTTCTTAGCCTAAACATATAGAAGAAGCAACCTTCTATCTAGCATCTGTACCAGTAGTGGAGTGGCTTGCTACTTTCAATCAGAATGGAAGATTGAGCAAGGCAAAGGAGAAAGAAGTTGTCCTCTCTTCTTTGGTAACCCGCCACCGCATATGTAGAAAAAAAGGGGAGTGGGGAAGGAAGAACAACCCTTTGACTTTGGCAAATCAGATGGCGGGTTTGACTAGGTAACATAATGGAAATTTATTGGACGGCAAATCCTGGAATGACGGTTTGACCCCGTCCTTGGCCTCGAGGAGTGGTGAGCAGCATGAAACTTGTTGCAAATTTTAAAATTCCACTAATGAGTAAGGACGTTACATTATTATCTTTGCTTTATTTTTTAAAATCTAGAATGAGAACTCACTAAAAAATTTCTTTGAAATCATTTTCAGAAAATTGTACACAAGCCTGCAATCCACTGCCAAAAAAGTTGTCAGAAAAGGCTCGTGTCAGTTTCTTGTTTTTTTTTTAAAGAAAAACCTTTTGGCTAANAAAAATTTCTTTGAAATCATTTTCAGAAAATTGTACACAAGCCTGCAATCCACTGCCGAAAAAGTTGTCAGAAAAGGCTCGTGTCAGTTTCTTGTTATTTTTTAAAGAAAAACCTTTTGGCTATACATGATGTAAATATTTTTGTTCATTCCCTTTTAGCGTGTAAGCAACACTAGTAAACATTTTTGGGTTATGTATATACTATATGATAGCAAACCGGTGTACCGCGCGCGTAAGACTTATTTTAAAAAATGATCCTATTATAAATATTTCCAAGATGAGTTTTCTTCTAATACAAAGTTTTTAATTTAGAGCGGGATTGCCTAAATTTTATTTTATTTTTATTAATAGTGTAATGTGATTAGGATGCTACATCATTAGTCAGTTTCTTAGCTAAAGAGTCCATGGTTCCCTTGCATACAAAGGGTATGAGAGAAAAAAATCAACTCACCTAGNAAGACTTATTTTAAAAAATGATCCTATTATAAATATTTCCAAGATGAGTTTTCTTCTAATACAAAGTTTTTAATTTAGAGCGGGATTGCCTAAATTTTATTTTATTTTTATTAATAGTGTAATGTGATTAGGATGTTACATCATTAGTCAGTTTCTTAGCTAAAGAGTCCATGGTTCCCTTCATACAAAGGGTATGAGAGAAAAAAATCAACTCACCTAGGATATCAAACTTACGAGTAACTGAACTTATCTTCTCTCTAGTCAAATAGGAATCCCTATCAGTTCATAGTTTTGACATAAGAGAGAGCAAATTTATATTCCAGAATGAACTGCCTACTGCAGCCAACCCCTTCTCTTTTCCACCCCTTCTCCATCATAAGCATGAAAATTTACAACACTTGAACTGGAGAACCAACACCTATAAATACCCTTTTATGTAAACATGCAGTTGTCCTCATCATTGTAAAGTAAGACACATAGCATAAATTAGATTTTGGACAAGAAATATGATTGCACATTTTTGTAAATGGATGCTCTGAAGACACTCTGAACCTTACTGTCTCCACAGCGTAAATATCTCATGCTGGCTCTGGCTCTCACTCTCACTCTTGCTTACAATCTATGTTCTGATAATCTCGCAACTGACCAGAACTAGTCAGATTGGACAGCTGTACATCAGGTGTGTAATTACTAATAAGGGTGCTAATTTTTTGCACTGTGCTCATACGAACACCTTGTATTTGTATCAGATACACACACCCAAATCCAGTTCCGAAATTGCATTGCAGTTTTTGGTAATTGTTCTTTTGAACATTGAATATCTAAGTACAATTTACTCTTGACATCAACACCTTTGCCTGTACCTTTATTACCAAATATACCAAGATACATGACAGTATGTTCTGCAACTTTATTAAGGAGTCAGAGATAATATGTCCAGCTGATCTATCAAGTGTAACCCATTCCAAATAAACAGCATACGGGCAAACTGTCTATGGTCTATATCAAATTTCTTGGCATGATACACCGACAATAAGTAAAATGCTAATTATGTCCCATGATTAGAGAACAAAACTATCTTGACACCACCTAACAAAGTTGTTTCCATTTGAGAAGAAAACATACCTATTTTTTATGAGGAAATCCTCAATTTGATCATAAAGGATGGAGAGGCGCTCAAAATGAACGTGACCACAAATCCGATGAAAATCAAAGTGCAGATACCTACAATCATCAATAGTTATTAGCACAGACTGAAAGAAGTATGGCATGTCTCAAATGATAAAAAAAGACGAGTGAAAGGATATCCCACCTTACATCATCACCAACAACATGCTGCATTGCATTGGAAAACTGTTCGCATAAGCGTCCCTCACCTCCATGCTGATGGAAAAGATAGAAAGGCCAAGGAACTAGTAAATCAAATTGAATAGCAGATGCACACCNTGCATTGGAAAACTGTTCGCATAAGCGTCCCTCACCTCCATGCTGATGGAAAAGATAAAAAGGCCAAGGAACTAGTAAATCAAATTGAATAGCAGATGCACACTCGCATACCGGAGAAAGAGAGCCTTTGACATACCAAGATACCATTATTCCAGGCAGAAAAAATAATAAATGCTCAAATACCGCACACCCACAATCCCACCATCCACCTGGTGACATTCATGAGAGCAAACTGACCTAGCACTGATTCGTATGTCTTTCAGTGTTCCCATACATAGAACTGGTTAGATAAATTTTCCTTTTGCAGTTCTGCTTTACTATAAGAATGGATCAAATGTCACCACACAGATTCAATAGCCTCAATCATCTAGGTCATCCCTTTGATTTGTGATGCCTACAACTCCAACTATACCACCCTCCAATTGATGAATCTACGTATCATTCCTCAATACATGTACAATATCCACACCTCTACAACTCCACTCAACAAAGCTTTATCCCAACTACAATCTCCACAACCATTCCAAGAGATATTTGACTATGAAAACCAGAAAGTTCAGACAACCATTGACATAAGTAATATTAAGAAATGTAACAGTGATTTCTTTCATTTTTTTTTTTTTTGATAAGAATTTCTTTCATAAAATTTTTAATTCCTTTAATAAACATGTTTAAACATTTATCAATATTATAGAGAAGATTCTTCTAATATTTTTTTGATAAGAAGATTCTTATAATAATAACATGTTTACAGGAAAGGTTTCATCAAGTGCTTTGGAACAGAGTCACAATGGGATAACAAATGAGTACCTTGTTGACAAGATCAGCAGCTAAAACATTTCCATATTTTTTCCTTAGATCCAAGAAGTGCCGCTCAACTACTTGAGGCTGTAGAAAGTGTTGTAAAATAGCAGCATCAATTAAGAGACAAAAGCCAGAAAAAGAAAAGGTGTTATAAACGGACACCTTTTGTCAGGGCAGAGAACAATGACACTCACTGCTTCCTCAAGTCTCACAATCTCAAACTTAGGCTTATATTTCAAATCAACAATTTGATCCCACAGCAATGGAATTGACCCTCGAACCTACAAAAGGAAATCTAAAGAATAAACCACATATACCAAATGTATAGAATCAATATACATGTATACAACATAAGCTGTCAATCGATAAGCTGTAAGAAAAATGTAAGAATTTACTCAACATTTACGAAGAAGGTTACTTGCATTTAAAGACACAAACTTGGGAGAAAACATACACTCTGTGGATAAAAAAGAAATCATTTGAGAGGATCGGGTTAATGGCCAAACAGTTCTTCAAGTTATGGTTGCTCTGGGTAAAAATTTCAAACAGATTAAATATCAATTGAACAGCTTAAAGTGGTTTTGCTTAGACCCACGGAGTGATACCACACCCATCAATATGTTCCTCACGAATTTATCATTTGGCCTTGGTCAGATATAATACTAGGCATCAAATCATGCAGTCTTCAAATCCACCATTAATTACGAAAATCTGCCAGACAGTATCCAAGTTGGGAAATTCCATTGCAAGCTCCTACATCAATCTATAGAAAAAAACTTCCCTATTCTTAAGTTTTGGAATATACATATCCTTATTCAGTAGCAGTAGCTTGGAGATGCTATTGACAAATGATTATGGGATAGGAAGAAAACCGAAATTCACATCCACACCAAGTGCATGACACACGTTGATAATCTCCATTTCCATCATGATAGTTTTATTCCATCAGGAGCTACAGCCTCTAGTATTGAAGCTTCTGCAAGGCCCGCCCTGCCTCTAGTAGTCTAATGTGAACCTATTAAGACCCTACTGTTCAAAAAAAAAAAAAAAACCTATTAAGACCTGACATCGGAAAGCATAAAGCTAAAATAAATGCAAAGCCGTGTAGCTTTACATTGTAAAAAAGTTGTTTCGGAGGAATAAATCAAAAGCAATTTTGGAAGAATATCTTTCTCATTATGTATGGAGAAGGCAGCCTCCTCTTTTTATCAGCAAGTGGTCTCCATTTTCAGATACATTGCTAACTGCATATCTTGAACACATTACTATGTCTAACATAACTGAGATATTGATAGGGTGGATTTCTTGCCCACACTCTGTACAACTTTTTAATATTTAACAAAAAGTTCTGTTTTTTATCAACAAATAATTGATTTTGTTAACGAAGAAAGTTTGACCATGGTACTCTCAGTTTTTTATCATTAATCAGCCACCAGTGTGATCCCCATGGGGCGCGACACTTATTTTTACTACTATGCTTTACTCAAACTATACCAGCTCAATGGTTAGTTTTAAACTTTTAAGGCATCTCAATGACAAAATTCAAAAGCTCCATTGGACATCTAAAACTGGCTTCTCGCGTTTAATGCATCTCCCAAAAATGGGTGAAGTGAACACTTAACAGGAAAAAAAGAATGAGCTGAAACAAACGATCAATATGATAATTGCACGTAAAAAAATAGAAAAACAATAATATGAAATTATTACTTGCAGAAATGACGCTGTATATCCATTCAGCTGAACGATTTGTTCACTTTCTACAAAATTTGCCACATAGCCATCAGAGTCAGCTCCTCTCCTCCACATCCGAGTGCCTTTCAGGAAGCATAACATTACAATCAACTCAATTAGCAAATCAAAACTTATACTACATTATCTAACTTGATTTCCAAAGATCTGTGGGATATCCAAAAAATGTTTAAAGCCAAATGCAGATTTGATCCTAAGAAAACCATTATCGAATGGATGCTACCAATACAGAGTAGGCAACAGTGTTGGCAAAATGGTAATACATCTGGAAGCACATAATCCAATCAAGTCATAACCAAAAGATAATGAAAGTTAACAAGGCCTTTGGAGATAATGGAACACCAGAAATGAATCAGTAAATCAAACAAGAGTGTTGGAATGTTCCCAGCCTGAACACAGAGGTACAATCAAAAAGTAGACAATGGCAACAAGATGAACTATGACAATAGAAATGACTTCATGAAAACAGAATGCTGGGATATATTAAATGATCTTGACATTTTGATTAGTATCTTGTAGAACTTGGTGAAATTGCAATTTTTTTCTTGTTATTCCCTGCTCCATATAAAAGAATCTCTTCCTTTATGTTTGTTGACCTTTCATCTTTATTAAAAGATATAATCACCTCATAAGCATAATACCAACCGGCCACATGGGAGTGGGTTGGTGATGGATATGCAAAACAATAAATAGTTGTGATTGAGTTACCCAATACCAGTTCTCCGAGTGCATCTCCGCGCAATCAGCATAACATCAATAATATCTTTCCCAATGGCCGCTTGAAAGTTCTGAAAACTTGATAATCAGTTAAGGTGTAACTTCAAACCATAAGACAATGCATATCCTTATCATGTACATGGTGAACAAGATCAGCCAAAAATCAAACAACCATAGCTATGCAAAAGCCACATATAGCTAAAACCAACACCAGAAAAGGATATTTCCTTGAACAACAGGAAGTAAGTATGGATCAAGCTGCATGCATAGGAGACCATAATCAGTACGTAATATTCATGAGACGTTCTTGAGAAAATCGCACGTAACTAAACTATATTTTGGTAACAATTTGACCTTATTATCTATGAGCACTTCCAACATATAGTTGTTCCAGAGAAACCGGGGGTCTGCCTGCAGCAAAAACATTTTGTATTCATGACGACATAAGCATATAAGGGTGACTTCCATAACCCTTTATTTTTGTATATGTATATATATATACACACACACAAACACAAAGGTATTCTCAATTTAGAAGCAGCTATTCTATTGGCAATACCACAAATCCAATGAGAAAATCATTACCTGCCTCCAAAGAGGTAGCAGCTTTGATTCATCTCCCAAATCATGCAATCGTTGTGCACTGCAAGATACAAAAATAAGGTATTGCATCAAACCAATTTCATAATAATTGTCGTCCAGCATTACATAAATCAGTGTTTCAGCAAAAATTTCTTGGTTGAGTCCTTTTAGTACTACGAATTGAAACGTATTAAATCACGATTGTCTAAAATAGATCAACAAACTTCTGTCCCTAAAAGTTTTGGAAATTTGACATCTCCACACATACAGTTTTCAATAGATATCAACAAACTTCAGTCCCTAAAAAGTTTGGAAAGTTGACATCTCCACACATACAATTTTCAATAGAGAGCATAAAAAAATTAGAAACAACTGATTCTAAAGATACATGCTGGCTTTCAGCTCCCACAAACACAGTTTCAAAACCTAAAGCAAAACTTTTTGCCCTATATCACTAGCTATAAACGTCTATAAACATTCTTCAGCACAAGTGCATGTGGTATGCATTTACTCTGATATCTTTCAAAAACTTAGCATCTCATCATATTTGAATATACACAGGGATCCAACTATAAGATCACAAAACACTTGAGACTAATTCGAAATCAAAATGAGCAAGAATATCAAGGTGAATGGAGAAAGTGTCTGGAATATTGTTTCAAAAAAAAAAAATACTTAATCTATAGACAGATCCTCACCAAATTCACCTAAAGCACCAATTATTAGTAAATGATGCAAAGCGGCAGTACTCCAATCAACCACATTACAACACTAAGCTGCTTACCATAAACCTTACCAGATATTACAAATCTTCAGCAGTTCCCTCTAGTAAGTAGAACCAAACCACCAACATTGCATAATGTCCTTTGGCCCTCAAATGGTCTATCAATCAAGTTTAAACATGACAAGGTGGCATGCCACACTTTCACCAAAATAAAATCCCATTACTTGCTAGTATTGGCTCCTAATTCCATGATTTTCATAGAGCTTTCTTCACTAGAAAATTATTTTCATTGTTGTCAAAAAAGAAAAATAAGGCTTGAATTTTCAACAAAAATTCTTAGATAATATCCAGAACATGTGACAATCAATGACACTTACAATTGACATACCCAGCGACTACGGTTGGTGCAATTAGTGAAAAAGTTTATGCCCTCCACTGACTCAAACACCACCCCTCCCACCCCCATAAAAAAGACAGACACACAGAGAGAGGCAAGAAAAAATACGGACTCAACTCCTTGGAAACCGAAGATATGCAGTCAGACGCACAGGCAATTAGCAAAATATAGATCATTCAACCCAGCAAAAGCAAGAAGTAGGAAAACAATTGTTTCTAGTGATAAAAGAGCTTTTATGTTAGGTAACCTCAAGTTTGGGGGTAGCTTAAGGTCTCTAAGCTATCATTATAGGCTTTCCAGTCAAAAATATTTCTCATCTTTTGCTGCCTCTCCAGCACCAAGATCATAACACNACAATTGTTTCTAGTGATAAAAGAGCTTTTATGTTAGGTAACCTCAAGTTTGGGGGTTGCTTAAGGTCTCTAAGCTATCATTATAGGCTTTCCAGTCAAAAACATTTCTCATCTTTTGCTGCCTCTCCAGCACCAAGATCATAACACGGTGATAAGCCACAATAACCAGGAATATATTTGACTAGAAGGGCAGCATGCTTAGGCCAAATCAACATGTGTTGTAATGCCTTCTGAGCTATCAAATTCCCAAAATCAAAAGATCCAAGCCAACCTTTTTGTGTCTCTAATAGATCCTACCAACCCATCATTTGGAAGGGCTCTCCACAGTTGAATTTTGGGCACAATGCTGTGGTGGCCTTTCAACTAACAGCTAACTAGCTAAATTCCTAGAGTGCCCCTCTGTGATAACAAAAACGAGCAAACACAATGAATCTGGGTAGAGCAATCCACCTCAATGTTATATTGACATCATATGAGAAATAAAGGCCAGGAGTCCTCTCTGCTACATTTAGCAGCCTAGAAAATTCATTCTCCATCCTTTTCTGCAAAACAAGGATGCAACATTCAAAACAGCAAACACTTAGGAAAGCAAAAAAAAACAGCAAACTACAGCGTTTAACCTGTTCATCAGGAGAGTTCTTGAGAGAATGATCACAAGGAAAAATTTTCAAGGATGAAACTTTGAAGATAGGATGCCCTAGGTACGATCCGACACATTCGCGTTCTGCTACAACTATTAAATACGACCCTGCAAGCACAATAAACATATAATTACATCTGGAGTGATGCCACTTGAAAGTAAAGTGCTAACGGAACTACACAGTGAATAAGAATTTCAGATTCAACAAGACTGTAAGGGTCTCTAGGCTGACTTTATCAACAGGCATGAATTCACTACATTATATAGGTGTCGCATTTTTGCATTTTTATGTCATTTATTTTTTATTTCATGATGTTATATCCCTTTCTTTAAAGCTGCTCAGAAGATGGATTCTGGACGATCAGATTTGCGTGCATATGTAAAGATCATCATAAGAAAGCTTTGTATCATGAGCAAGTATCTTAAAGTCAAGGTCTTCAATTTCTAGTTATTTAGCTGATCAAAGTTCAACTCAATAACATGTCCACATATAGTTCTGCATCTTCTCATCTTCAACTTTTCCATTTCGAAGTGCAAGTCCTATTCACTGAAAATATTTAGAGTTGATCATGCTCATAGTTGGTGAAACCTTATATAGATCTTGGTGAATGGGTCCTGATAAGCTATCATCAACGTCTCTTTAAAAATTCCAAATTGTTAGTTGTTTCATAAATGTTTCCATAAATTTGATTCATAAGCACTTTCAGTGCCAACAAGACAAGACATTTAATAACTAATATATTCCTTTATGAAGTGAATTTTCTACAAGGAGCCTAATAAATTGTTTCTTTCAAGTATTGGGTGTCCTTTTTATCATCGATCCAATGATGCATTCACAGAAACCCTGTGACGCAGTACAGAGCCTCAAACAGGATCTTAAGGCTGTCCTACGATCAAGTTGGTGAGCTTGGGTTTCGACTTTAGAATTTGTTGATGAGAAGTTGGAATCAGGACTTCAAGAGAAATTTAGAATTGATTTGGTTGTGATAGAAGCTGACTTTGGTCTGGAAAAGAAGAATCCTGGGGGCAGGATTTTCCGGGCAGCAAGGCAACAACCAAGGGTTTAGGATAAAAGTTGGGTATGTACGGTAAGGATTTTTGTGTCAATTATTTGTGGCTGTAATTGCTTGCAGCAATTCCGGAATTAAAATTACATCAAAAAAACTTTAGAGAGCCTCACGAGACTAAGGACTTCCTAAACTAACATAAACTTAACTAATCCAAAACAAGAAAAGGACTACACAAGACCGACTATAAGTTGCAATCCCTAAAGTATACCTACTGTGTTATTTCATCAAAGTATCCTTGACTTCAAATTTCTGAATCCTCTAGCTTAGAGTGTATCGAGTGACTCCAACGGTGGAACCCATCGGTCCACTGAAAGAGGTCGCATGGGTTTTTCTCTTTGTTCCTTTTCCAAGCATAGTCTTTAAGGGTTTGATTTCCCATTGACATGATTCTAAGAGTTTAAAACCAAGATGTCTTCTATAAAAACCTTTCCAATTTAACACTCATTTTTATTTTAAAAATTAAATCAAATTCAAAAACATTATCTGATATTATTTTCTATCAATCCACATCTTTTAAACTATTACACAGCTAATGTTGTAACCCAGAAACATACAGAACCCATAGCCTGGAAACAAATACCACCAACNATATTATTTTCTATCAATCCACATCTTTTAAACTATTACACAGCTAATGTTGTAACCAAGGATCAAAATGTCGTGTCGACACATCCGAAACGTTTTGAAATTTCAACACTCCGAAACGAAACAGTAGTTGAATCACAAAATTCCAGTGTTTCGGTCGAAACGGTACTGTTTCGGACCGNGCAAGGATCAAAATGTCGTGTCGACACGTCCGAAACGTCCGAAACGTTTCGGAATTTCAACACTCCGAAACGAAACAGTAGTTGAATCACAAAATTCCAGTGTTTCGGTCGAAACGGTACTGTTTCGGACCGTTTTGGTCGAAACAGCATTGTTTCGGGCCGTTTCGATCGAAACAGTGATATATTCAGTTCATTATGAATAATTCATTATGAATAATTACATTTAATACCCCATTATAATTACATTTAATACCCACTGTAATTACATTTAATACTCACTATAATTATATTTAATATCCCACTATAATTACATTTAATTCCCACTGCTCTTCTGTCTTTTATAATTTTTTTGTTATAAGAATAAATAATTACACTTAATACCCTACTATAATTATATTTAATACCCATTATAATTATATTTAATACATACTGTAATTATATTTAATACCTCACTGCTGTGCAAGTTTTTTGCTTTTTTTTTTTGTTATAAGTATTAACAATTACATTTAATACCCTAATGTAATTATATTTAATACTCACTGCAATTACATTTAATACCCATNAAATGAATATTATAAGGTGTGGATACCACAAGTCCAGTCAAATAGCAACTAATATACTACTTCAACACTTCAAAGTCATGGATCTACAACAATAGCAAAAAACATTGTGGGTGCTTAATTATAATCTTGCCTGCCAAAAGCTTCAACATCCCAATCACACCAAAGATTGTCTGAATTTTAGGAACACGAACAGCGCTGCACTGTGGAATGTCATCTAGAGAACANAAGTAGCTACCCAGAGCTTACACCGATGTATGAGCCTGCTCGACACTCCACAGGGGGGTGGATGTAACTANAGTTTCTCTAAGTAGCTACCCAGAGCCTACACCGATGTATGAGCCTGCTCGACACTCCACAGGGGGATGGATGTAACCATGTAAGTATGTACTCATTAGCATTTCATGTGTATTATAAGACCTTAATATTATGTAAAAATGTGTTTATTTCATAAAAATTAAGTGTTTGAAACTAATTTAAGTGACTTTCACCTCATGTCAAGCCTTTTTTTCCCTCAAATTTAAATTTATTCTTGTATAAATTGATGTTAACCTAATAAATATATTGAATTAATCAATTATTTAGCATATCTTTATAAATTAATGGATTGTATTTGTGTTTCTATGCGTTTCCATATTTTTTCTGCGTTTCCATTGCGTTTCCGAAATGTTTCCGAAACGTTTCTATTTTTGAGTTGACCGAAACGGTACTTCGAAACGAAATTTTGATCCTTGGTTGTAACCCAGAAACATGCAGAACCCATAGCCTGGAAACAAATACCACCAATTCAACACCCACTATTACCGTATCTCTGGGTCAAGGTAATCCTTAAGTTGATATATTTGCATTATTATTCAGTTCATAAGCACAAAAAATTGTATAAAGTCACTTTTCAATATATAAGATCAAGTTAGCACAAATGAATATTATAAGGTGTGGATACCACAAGTCCAGTCAAATAGCAACTAATATACTACTTCAACACTTCAAAGTCATGGATCTACAACAATAGCAAAAAACATTGTGGGTGCTTAATTATAATCTTGCCTGCCAAAAGCTTCAGCATCCCAATCACACCAAAGATTGTCTGAATTTTAGGAACACGAACAGCGCTGCACTGTGGAATGTCATCTAGAGAACGCAAGATACGTCTAGCATCAATCCAACAAGCAAACATAGAAAATACCAAAACCAATAGTCTACAATCATGTCAAACAAGTAGTAAGATTAAGCAACCAACCAATAAATTTTGTTGACCCCTCCACCCGGCTGATTGCCAAACAGGGACCAGAAGATCCATCAGTGGGCTCAATTACATATTGATCTGGAAATTCCCAGAGCCGCATTCTTGTGTATAGCTTCTGCGCCGGATCTGCCTTCTCCATCATTATTGAGATTAATCTCTATTGACACAATTACCCAAAATACCCAATCAGTTTCTCCAGTATTAGAGAGAAAATAAAATGATGTTATGTCAAGCATGTCAACGTAGAATATAATAATGAATAAAGAGACACGACTGATATTACTGTGTTTTAGGTTCTTTAAACCTAAATTCAAATGACACTCTTCTTTTGAGCCAAGAAAAGAGATAAACGGTAAACACAACCAGAGCTTTCATCCTAAAATACAGACCCTTGCGCCTATAAACAAATTACAAGGTGCTTGAATTGCCAAAATTTATAACAAACAATAATACACGTAAAANAGCTTTCATCCTAAAATACAGACCCATGCGCCTATAAACAAATTACAAGGTGCTTGAATTGAATGAGGAATGGATAGGCAAAGAAAAAATTCACTCAAACTCATATATCTCTCACCAGAAACAATACACAAACTGCTGTCGTTGTTCAATTATTTTTTTTATTGTTTGTGTTTTAGCCCACTTTCTTCTTCCTCATCCCTTGTCAAAAATATAAAATCATAAACTCCTTTTTCCATTGAATGTTTCTTATGTATGAACTATCCATCTCACTATTCGGTTTCTGAACCAAATAACCAATTGGAAGGTCACATGACGCGTATACTTTCACCCTTTATTATCCAATTCTAACAAATTCGACTTTTATTATGACCTATACCCGATCTATCTCTCCCAGAACGCAACAAATGTCACTTTCACTCACGGATTGCAGAATCTATGCAATCAATTATTCACATAGCTTGCCAACACTAGTTTAGTTGTAGCACTCTAGAGAAGGAGAGAGAGACATAATACTAAATCAGGTTGTTGTATCTACACATACATAGATTGCTTAGCGGAGGGAATCATTACCTGGTCTGAGTAATGGATTCAAAAAGAACGAGATCCAAATTGCAGAGTCTGTGACGAATCTGAAATCGATCTTGAAAAAAGATCGAACTCGGAAGAGCAGAAATGGCGTGATTTTGCTGGTGTGTGTCTTTTGCGAAATCGAATCACCCGAGCAAGGAAAGGAAACGAACGAGTCAAACGGAAATTTGGGCGAACCAGACGGAGCCTTGGGCGGAAAAATCAAATTGAATTGAACATTGCAGGTGCTTGTTATTAATGGAGCCGGATAACTTGATCACATCTTGAACTCTAAATTACAAAGTCATCCCAAAAAAAAAATATTAATTACATTCCGACCCCAAAAATTTGTCACTAAATTGCATAGATCCCTCAGATATGATAATTTACATTTCAACCTCATCTCATTAGCATCATGAAGACTGAAATAACAGAAGTATCAAAAAGACTACCGACTGCCGAGACAACATATACAAATTGCTAAACAATCTTATCTTAGGTATTAAACAACCTTCAAATTTCATATAATAAATCTACCTCTCTTTCTCTCTCCTATTAACAATTTAAAATCACGTCGACNAGCATCATGAAGACTGAAATAACAGAAGTATCAAAAAGACTACCGACTGCCGAGACAACGTATACAAATTGCTAAACAATCTTATCTTCGGTATTAAACAACCTTCGAATTTCATATAATAAATCTACCTCTCTTTCTCTCTCCTATTAACAATTTAAAATCACGTCGATTTTGTCCTATCCTACCACCAAAACTCTCAACCCGACCACCTAAGTCACATTCACCTCCAAACCTAGCTCTCCCACACCTCCTAAGCTTGCAACCCCACTCTCAAAAATCATCATAATCACCGTCACCCAAAAATTGTCATAATTTTTCTCATTAAAACATATGTTAAAATGATATAATTTTAATGATCTTTTAAATTAACCATACCGGCACACGCTCTACAAACTTCATAGATCCGTGACAAATAAGCGATGAACAAAATTATCTGATCAATAGCTGATTTTCGAACACGAACTCAAACTTGTAATTACAGTACTACATATAAGCACTAATGCCCAAAGTTAAAGCATGGATGACTCTACGCATTAAAAGTATCCATTTCTTACTAGCTTCAATCATCTGCTATGGCGTGTTGGTTGGTTAATGAATCATCCCTGTCAACCCCAAATTTATACCATTAGAGTGTGTTTGTTTGCCAGATATAAGTGGTAAATTAGTACGTGGGATCCACTTATTCTTTGTTTTGCAATTTAAACCTAATACTATTTTTTTCAGTCCTTTTTTTCAACTTGGTTGCTATACTAGCAATATAATTAACCATGTACATGCGTATATTCAATACCACATAATAGGTCGGGTATTATTCCCACCAATGGTAGAAATGCTAGCACCAGAGACGAATAAAGTACTATTGCCTAGAAATAATAGGCAATAAAAATATATAAAATTAATCCTCCTAAAAAGATTATTCTATAATAAATAGGCAATAGTTAAGGGAAATGCACCAACATCGAACAGAAACAAGGTTATTAGATAGAGTAATGCTACACTAACTAAAATATCTCAGAAAAACCCAATAAGAACTACACGAGNTAGGCAATAAAAATATATAAAATTAATCCTCCTAAAAAGATTATTCTATAATAAATAGGCAATAGTTAAGGGAAATGCACCAACATCGAACAGAAACAAGGTTATTAGATAGAGTAATGCTACACTAACTAAAATATCTCAGAAAAACCAATAAGAACCACATGCTCAAGTTTCCATGTTCTCTACTGCTGAATATTACTGCTTCAAGTAAACTAAGGATGGTGATATGTTTTCTTCCTCAACAAGTAAGTTAGCACAAAAATAAGAACACTATGTTCAAAAGAACCTTTCCTGGTTCAGAAAGTGATGGATGTGTATCCCAAAAAAACGTTTCTCAAATTTTACATTTATCCAACAATCGCTACAATAAAAATGGTATTTTTCAGAGTTTAATAACCTGCGTTTGTCACAAAGGCTATTTATTAATGACTGGGGTTCGATTTCTCGGATGCGCAGTTTGAATTGTTCTTGTTTAAAAAAAATTTAAAATTACTAATTATCGGTGTTTGTCACAAACGTCATTTATTATTGACCGTGGNAGTTAGCACAAAAATAAGAACACTATGTTCAAAAGAACCTTTCCTGGTTCAGAAAGTTAATAACCTGCGTTTGTCACAAACGCTATTTATTAATGACTAGGGTTCGATTTCTCGGATACGTAGTTTGAATTGTTCTTGTTTAAAAAAAATTTAAAATTACTAATTATCGGTGTTTGTCACAAACGTCATTTATTATTGATAGTGATTCAATTCTTCGGATGCGTAGTTTGAATTGTTCTAGTAGTGCTTTAGGATGAAAATTTTGTGTATATAGTTGTATGTCCAATATATTATGTCTTTTTAAGTAATTATAATTTATTTTTTGGGAGTGTTTTTTCGTGGAACTTTTTGATAAAATGAATAATCACCCAAAACGTACGTTGCTTAAATTCTCTTGCAGCCCCCACTATTGCATGAACAGATAACTCTTACACAACAAATCAACTGCCTATCACCATGCAAACTATTAACGTACAATAAAAACAACGTCATTTGTGTTAAAATATCATTTCATGCAAAACGATGTTATTTTAATGNAGATAACTCTTACACAACAAATCAACTGCCTATCACCATGCAAACTATTAACGTACATTAAAAACAACGTCATTTGTGTTAAAATATCATTTCATGCAAAACGATGTTATTTTAATCACAATCAAGAGAAACCTATTTCTTTGCATTATATGAGAAAATAGAAGAATAATACTAAAATAGAAATGTTTCATTGATATCAAATCAACAATAACATAGTAGTAAGGAAAGCACACATAAACCTTAAATCATCCGGTTTGCCAAAAACAATAACAAATAACAGTATTAATCAAACATGGCCGAAACAAAAGCCAGTTTAAAATCCAAGTACTGATGCAGATAAATAGAAATATAAAGTCTCTCTCTCTCTCTCTCTCTTCCAAGAGCATACTCAATATATAGAGTCTTCACGGCAATGCTTCAAATTCTCTTCCTCTCTAGTCTTCATCACTATCCGGCGGCGGCGTTTTGTTCAAATCCCTGTCCCATGCAAGTCGACCTCTAGGCATTTCCTCTTCCTGTCCTGCGGTTGCAGCATCCTCCTCAGCCTCTCTTCCCTCCTCCGCAGCCTCTGCTACTGCTACTGCCGCAGCGGCAGGGTCATCTCCTCCTTGGGGGAGTAAGTCTTGAAACTCTTCGCGGTTGAACACCGGTGGTGGGTATGCCCCTTTCCAGCCACGGTCAGGATGACAACGCATGTGTCCAAACAATGCTTTGTTGGACTGAAATCTTTTCCCACACTCACTGCATTGGTGGGGGGGAGGTGGAGGATCATTCAAGTTTTGAAGTTCTTGTCTTTTGGCTCCAGATTGTGAGCCTGAGCCTCCTTCCCCCACCGCAGGACCTCTCTTCCTCATTCCCATGCCACCCAGAATTAGCCTATCTTCCCCACCACCACCAGCACTGTCACCACCAGCCACCACCGCAGCCGCTCCTGCCGCTGGAAAAAAGCCCCCTACGCCTACTCTTCCAGCCGCAGTTCCACCCGAAGAAACTTGACCAGAAACATTGCCACCGGAAGATGATCCACGGCCATGTTGGGGAGGATTAAAGCCTGAAAACGGTGGTTGGAGACCATGGAAAGGCCAATACGGCACAATAGGTGGCCTGGGAGGATTGGGCTGGGGTCCTCCGGCTGCACCACCTCGGCGCTGCGGAGGGGGAGCAGGGGCATCCTGACGCCTGGGGCTAGGTGCACGACCCTGCCCGGGGGAGTTTCCTTGATCAGAACCACCAGCCCCATCGCCAGAGTTGGACATTGTCGTCGATGATGTAGAGCACGGGTTGCGACGTGGTGGGTTGGGTGGTTATTTATACTGGTGGGAAATTTTTGAAATGGCGGTTATGTTTCAGTGAACCGTTGTTTTCTAACAACGGACATGACTTATTCGAAAAGTGGTGTTTCTTCATCTAAGACCGTAGGTGGGGATATATGATGGGTATGGACGGTCCAGATGGGCTCATCTTTGACGGATTATGAAGCGGTGCACGGACGTTCTGCTGATGAGTAGTATAGAGTCGTGACATGTACCGTATCATGGAGGCAGGAAAATAACGGTTAAACCTTGATTATGGTTTGGTTATTCAAGTGACAAAAATGCCCCGTCACGACGTCTGAAAATAGAAATTTACGCNATAACGGTTAAACCTTGATTATGGTTTGGTTATTCAAGTGACAAAAATGCCCCGTCATGACGACTGAAAATAGAAATTTACGTNCGTATCATGGAGGCAGGAAAATAACGGTTAAACCTTGATTATGGTTTGGTTATTCAAGTGACAAAAATGCCCCGTCACGACGTCTGAAAATAGAAATTTACGCGACCAGGACCAAAAACATTTTAATTGCCACGTGACAGTTTCAAATAATGAGCACACCTGATTGATTACAGACTGCCACAACACTAATTTGTGGCACATACAAATTAATTTTTTTTTAAAATAATTAACAAATTGATAGGTAATACGTATTTATTACTAATGTATATTACCGGACATTGTCACGTAATGTGTTATACATATTGAAAAAAAAAAATTCATTCGATGAGTCACTTGGCGGCAATATGAACCCTTTTTTTTTTTTGTTGCACTTTTTCAAAAGTAATACTTCATTAATTAAAATATAATTTTATTAAGAACTTAATAATGGAACAGTATTAATTAAGAAAATTGTTGAAATTGTGAGGTCTGAACTATATCAATATGCTACTTGTATTCAAAATATTGACGTCATTTGTTGACTTCATCGATTATTGTCATTATGCGAAAACTTTTTCTTTTATTGGTATCTGATAAGTAGGTTATTAAATTGAGTCGAAAGCCTACCAATGCATATGGATTTCAATTCGAGTGAGAATTCAGATCGAGAAGATGATAACATGTTAATCGAAAACTCTATTGTTCTGAATAATGAGAAAAATATTTTAAAATTCAATCAAATTGATCGAATATCTCATCATCTGTTAAATGGGCCAATTGATTGATCGAATTTAGGGCTAGGCGTCCATGTCACAAAACCTTTCTCTATGAGCGTTTTAATTTAACTGTAGGCCCTAACATTTATTTGAACTCACTATCTATTTAATAGTTGTAATTAATAAAATCAACAAATGATATAAATATTTTAAGTCCAAATAGAATTACTCCGCCAAATTATGTTCAAACCAAGATATAAGTCTAGCAGTAGACGTGCATCCATGTTTATATTGTTGACTAAAGTTGGAATAATATGCAGGAAGGGCAGTACCCTACGAACTATGAATATTGATTTGCAGAGTTCTAATGATCAAATTTACTTTATATCCATCCGATCAGCATAAAAACACCCACCAACAATGGAATTGTCTCTATTTTTTACAAACCGATTTTCGAATTTGAACCCGTGATGTAAAACAAAGTCAAGATAAAATATTATAAGACCTTCCAACAATTTTAACTTGCTAGTACAATAATTGAATCATCGTCATTGTCACCACCATTACTTCCAAATGCTACAAAATTATCTGCTGAAATTTGTATTCAAATGTTTCTAGCAAATATTGTTCTATGCTTCTATGGCCTTTTCCTGTTCCCCTAAGGATCCCTATATTGAAAACTCTACAGGACTGGAAAATGAACCAACTTTCTCAGAGCTTTTGGATCAGAATTGTTTCAGGATTTGTGACATAAACAAGTCAACCTATCTCCCACTTTGGAGCAGCTCTATTTTTCTGTTTGATCTCTGAATGCCCAAACCTCGGTCCTAATTTTGCTGGAAGTTGCCAAAGANGTGACATAAACAAGTCAACCTATCTCCCACTTTGGAGCAGCTCTATTTTTCTGTTTGATCTCTGAATGCCCAAACCTCAGTCCTAATTTTGCTGGAAGTTGCCAAAGAGGATTGCTCCTGGCCCAGGGATAACAAGAGAGAGAGAGAGAGAGAGAGAGAGAGAGAGAGAGAGAATACTTGACGTGCATTGAGCAAGCAACTATTTTTCTATTTGACCACGTGGACAGTTTATCCATAGTTAAGTCAAAGACTGCTTCTACAATGAAATTTATTGCCCACTCTGGCCTCGTGAGGCTGGCCCCTGTGGTTGCGAGCTGGAGCTGCCATAGGTTATGGCTAGAGCAATGGGAAGGGGGGGCCGGCAGAGGAAAAAAGAAAGAATACTGAGTGCTCCGCCCACCAAGCAGGCAGCAGGAGCTNACAGTTTATCCATAGTTAAGTCAAAGACTGCTTCTACAATGAAATTTATTGCCCACTCTGGCCTCGTGAGGCTGGCCCCTGTGGTTGCGAGCTGGAGCTGCCATAGGTTATGGCTAGAACAATGGGAAGGGGGGGCCGGCAGAGGAAAAAAGAAAGAATACCGAGTGCTCCGCCCACCAAGCAGGCAGCAGGAGCTGGAGCAGCAAGCCAGTACTTGGTAGGCCAACAGCCCAGTGAACCGGGAAAGATGAATCATCTGGAGCACGAAGATCTTGTTGCTATGGTGATGAACAAAATGAGTTGTTTGTTTAATGCAAAACCGTGCAGCGTTGTAGTAGCAGCTATCTTTGGATAACAGAGGGCGAAAAACAACAATGCCTAACCACATCCATAAATTGAAATACAATGCCATTTGCACTGAACAGAATACAAAATTATAAAGGAAGATGAAAATCTCACAGCAACATTACAATAAAACCGTTGCATTTGACCAAGAGATCCAGCCGATAAAAAAGGGACCAAAAAGCCCTAGCAAGTTGAACTAGTTCGCGATATTCATCCAGTACACCATGAATTTTCCTTGCTGAGCAATGCAAGAAAAAAAAGGGGTACACTTAACATTATAATAGACAGGAAAAACTATTGTATGTCATGCAAATGATTTACGATACAGATTGTGATAGCGTATGTACAAGGCACTCAAATATCTTCCTTTTATTTGTTCTTGAACCGGGGAAATCAAAGTCCAAACAACCATTATCCACCCCCAGGGTTCCCCAAAAGCCGCTCCACAGCAGCATGAACATTCCCTGCAGTGGCAATCAGAGCCCGTATATTTTCCTGAGTGTCAAAGAACCCCATTTCTTGTAGCTGTGAGAGCTGAGTAGCATACTGTTCTTCCGGGGGCACTGCAGTACAATGTAAATCAGGTAAATGAGTTGTTGGACAAAAAATACGCTGCGAAGTAAATAAGATAAATGAGTTGATGGAAGAAAAATGAGCAAATAAAATAAAAGATGAAGGAGAGAATAGTAACCATTAGATCTGTTGGGAACAGTCAGGCCTCCAGTACCAAGTCCACCAAACATGTTCATCAACATATCCAACCCTGTGTTATCAAGTGCTCCTGTTATCATAAAACATTGGCACTCTTCTGTTAGATAATGTTGTGTGGCTGGGTGGGTTTGTTTGTTTATTTGTTTTTTGTTTTTTTTTTTTTTTTTTTT